GGAATCAATGAAATTCTAAGGGCTCAGAAGCTTTTCTAAACTGACTTAAAAGATGGACTTAAAAGGCTCATTCTAGAAAAAGAGAATATTTTCTAATCTTTAACAAGGCAAACCTCTTAACAGGTTTGCATTTTAAGGAGTTTGTGTTTACTACAAGGAGCTTTATTAGATAACCTTATTGATGAAAGTACAGAGCTACCTTGAAAATCAATTCAGGATAACTTGCAAGAAGCCAGGTTAGAAATGGAACACTTTTTAAAATTGATTTTACAATGGCCTCAATATTTATAATTCACACACACACACACACACACACACACACACACACACAGAGTGTCTGGTGGTTTTATCACCAATGATGGTGAACATTTTAGAGACCAAGTGTTAAACTGTAACCCAAAACTCACTTATTTTTCACAAAGTGCCAACACTATAATTAAACCTGAATACTAAGGTTTTATTTTAGAAAAATAACTCATATCTTAACATCTTTTGTCTTAAAAAGAAAAACACAATAACACACGTGTTATAGGTTCACCACCACTGTTACAACTCAATCCCATACCCTCCTGGAAGTAGGTTTCTTGGGGGCAGGGGTTCATAGCTAATAGACTTTATTTGCAGTTTAAACACTTGGTAGGTTATCATTTGCTATCATTTAAAAGTGCCTCCTCTGGGTCTAACATTGAACATAGAATTTTTTCTCTTCTTTAAAGATGAGGAGGGCCAGTCAGATAGCTCAGCAGACTAAAGCACCTGCTTAGGCAGAGTCCATAGCCGGGGTTCTGGGTGTGGAATTATATGCCTATAATTCCAGTGCTTACAAGGCTGAAAACAGGAGAATCAGTACAAATCCGATCTATGTAGTAAGACCCTGTACTAATAAATAAATTAATTAATTAAAGATGAGGAAACAGGGAGACAAAAAGGCTGGCCTAAGACTGCTCATCTAGGAAGTACAAAAATAGGGTGGAAAGGAAAAACTGTTAGGGCTCTGGGTATGAGGTACATATTGCTTTACCACCTACCATCTGGGAACAAAAATGGGAGTACTACAGGGCTTCTACCTGGATAGGTGGGAGGTTCCCTGTACTGTCTCCTCAAAACTTAGCACTGTGCCTGGCCCTCACTGACTTCCTCAGTGCCAGAATCTAAAACACTCAGGACATTTTCTCCTTCCTTTGAGGCCACCACTTAGAAAATTATCCATGACATTTTCAGGGTATCCGGAGACACTCATTTCTACAAGTTCCTCATTTTTGGCTTCCATTTCCAATGTTTCAAGGACATTTTACACAGATAGTTATTTACACAAGACCAAATTTGTGTTAAGTCCTGACATCACCAGGAATGACTCATGGTATACACTTGGAAACACATTCAAAGGAAGAAGAAAAATCAAAAAACAAAAAAACAATGGAAACTCTTACTCGAATACAGAGCTATCATTTTGATCTCCCCAAATCAAGATCTCAGTGATGGAACGAATGGTCTCTACCAGCAGGTTCCGATTCTGTTCTGTGACTGTGGTATTTTTGGTCAAGACGTGGTACAAATACCTGAGAAAAACATGGCAGAAAAATAGAAGGTTACCAACTGACATGAAATTCAGGTTCAGGTACAACGACCATTAACAGCATTTTGAGGAAAACAAAGCGGTGCTTCTCAGATTCAGTTAACACAATTTCCCATCCATATTAGCCCTGACTCACTACCCAAGAAAAATGGCTATCAATACTTGATGCATTAAATACTAAAAAAACATCATCCCAACCTGAGGTAAGAGCACCAACAAACCCTTGGAGACAGCCATTCTCAAACTTTGATGTGGAAGAGAATCGCCTACACAGCTTAATAAAGGGGACCTCCTGGAACACATTCAGAGAGCAGGACTCAGTAGACCTAAGAGAAGAAGAGGCTTCAGTCTGTTTCAGATGTTCCCCTCCAGTGCTTCAGATGTCAGTGGAAGTATACAGGTCAGGTCAAATGCCTACAAAGGACCTGCAGGCAGACTGATGCTGAGATTCAGAGAGACGGAGCCAAGCTTAGGGAAGGCAGATCCCAAAGCCAAGGGGTGAGACAAAAATAACGTGTATTTTTGTCTACAGACTACCTTTGAAAAGCCATACCCCTAACATGCAGTACACTAACTAGAATATAAGGTTTAAATGAAGTGGGTGGTTGGCAGTCAGGGACAGTGACCTTATTTGCTGAGCACAGACTTCAATTTGTAATTATATGGGCTTAATAGGGTATGGCTCTGTACATCAACCATCCAAACAGGCCCACAAGCCAGCTGCTGGGGTGGACAGAAAGATGCTGTCCAGTCCTTGAAGCTTCTCTGCTGATAGAGAGACCAAAAAGGCCACTTGAAGGGCATAGGAATCAACAGCTAGGCCCAATGCCAAGGCAGTGCTACCTATCATGGCTTCTAAGACAATTTCTCTAGCACCCACAGATCCAGGTAAACACATCTCTCAAAGGAGCCTCAGGCTTGGGAAGGAAAGCAGACAAATGAGAAAATGACTCAGAAAAAGCCACTCCTGATTTCTTTCATGGCTACCTCCAGGCTGGGGCTGAGGGCTGATGAGAGCAACAGAAGGAAAAAATTGATAAGGTCATCCCTTCTACAGGCTCTAAAACTAGTAAGATAGGAAGTAAAACCTTGCAGATGCAACAAAAGTAGGATCAACCTGCTACTCCCAGGGAGCTGGAGTTTATTAATATTGTTGCTATTTGTTATATGTTAAAGATATAATAGGTGTTTAATTTGATTTAGAAATTGCATGCAGTTTTTTATATACAATTAGTACAGCTCTTCAAAAGTACAAACTGTTTATTATTTATGCCCAAAACTACCAGCATTGCCACAGGTGGAGGGAGAAGACCAACTGTCCTCTAAGATAACATAACCGCACAGCACTTGAGCCACTCTGAAATGAGCTGTGAAGGACCTACTCATAGATCTGTATGTCTCTATCTTGCCTCAGTGCCTGTACTGCAAGAGGCTCAAAGAGCAGATTTCCCAACTGTGATTCATAGGCCTCCTGCACCAGATGCATCTTTTTAAGTTATCCCCTCCCCCAGCCCCACTGAATCAGACTCTTGGGTACAGGGCTTAGTTCACTGAAATACTGTTTTGTTTTCATAGTGCAGAAAATGAAATCCAGGGCCTTAGGCATGTACACATGCTCTACCACTCCACTACATCGCCAACCCCCACTAAGGTTGGACAGCCACTTTATCACCCCATGGTAGCTCTTGGTGACACTCTCCAGGCAGTTTATAGGATTGCCTGACACTTTGCCTATGACAAGACATTGTTGGCAGTGGAAGAGAGGGGCAGATTTTTTCCATTCTGGAATTTTCTCCTGTATAAAGGGTGGCATACTTCCATCAGCATTACATATCACAACCCTGGCTCAAAGAGAACTCAGCTCATGCCTCACTGATGAAGCAAGCCTTCCTTTAAGGTTTCCTCACCTTACTCTCTGTCCCCAAGAATTTGTTGGTCCCCTCCTCCCTGGTACCTTAGTACCCATATGCATTTGCTACTGCACAGATCACCATGAGTCACAATGATCTGTCTCCTTTACTTGATAAGGATTGCTCAAGGTTATTATTGATCTTGGTGATCCTGATGTACTCCAAAATATTTGGTAGATATTAGGTACTCAACAAATGATGAATGGGACAGGTATGGCCTTCATGAATGTAAGGTGGACCACAGCACATAAGACTGAACACAGCCACAAGTCCAAATGCAGATAGATATACACACAAAATAAAAATAAAAATAAAGATTGAAAGCAAGTGTTAATATTCCCTTATTTGTCCATAAGTATATCTGTTAATCTGAGCAATAGATTTGATGATAAAAATAGATAATATAACAACTGTTGTTAATTAACTATTCTTGTTTTGAAAATGTATATGTATTGTTGTATGTTACCCTGTTTCTATCTTTGTTTCTATTTGTTTTTTTTTTCCTGCTATTTGTTTTTACTCTTCAAAATTAAATTAAATTAAAATATAAAACCCAGCAGAGTTGTGAATAGTTCAGCATTTGGAGTCCAACAGACTTGGGCTTGATCCCTGGCTCTTCCAGTTCCTAACTGTGGCCCTAAGCAAAAGCCTTCACCTCACCTCCCTGCAGCTTAAGTTCCATGAAACAGGGAAACAGTCAAAGCTTCTCCACTGGGTTGTTTCTGAGATTCCATAGGAGAATACATAGAAAGAGCCACTGGTGCTTCGCATGCAGTAAGCATATCACAGAAGCAGGATTAGTTGTGCTGCTGCTGCTGTTGTTGTTATTTGTGGTTATTATGATGGAGGTCATTATTAACATCCTTAGTAATTACAGAAATAATATTCTAGGGCCATAGAGAAATGAAAATAGGGTGAGACAGGCAAAGACACCTTCAAGGGAGACATTGTGATGGGCAGGTTGAGAGAAAAAAGAACAGGAAGTGAAAGTCCAGGTCATGCCTGCAGTAATGGCAAAGTATCTGGGTTATTATAGACATTAGTGCTCCATGTTGAGCACATCTCCCTTGCTTATTAACTGAGTGATCCAGAGCAAGCTACTTTACCTCTGTGCACCTCAGTTATCACAACTGTAAAATGGGAGCAGCCACAGTATCTAAATATTTCAGCACCTATTACAATGTTGTTATAGGTGGACAGCAAATAAATAAGTGGACAGAACAATTTTGGCAGTTACTTTATACAATACCAGTGCTAGCCACTGCTATTGGGGTTTCACTAAATAATCTCTGGAAAAAATCCTAATAACTACTAGGCAATCTTTATATACAGAGAAAGAAAAGGGCAGTAAATCCTGAAGGTTCTAAGAGTTCCCTGAGCCTGGCAAGGAGCAAGAGCATCATGGGACCCTTTTACTATTATAGTCCCGTTACCACTCTGTGGACCAAGAATGCACCCTACGCTTGTGGACGGTTGTTGGCTCACCTAATCCCACAGCTGGGGGACATGGTCTGAGAGTTCTATGTCCCTGTTTTTCCAGCGCTTGATACTCCTTGCCTTTTTTTCAGTGCAGCCATCTACTAGGTATATGATTGTATCACACTGCGATTTTACAGTGGGAAGACCAATGCAACTCAGCGCCTATTCTATAGTTTATGGACTATTTGAATGACCTCTTTTGGAAAGTGCCAGTATAACTCCTTTGTTTTTTATTAGCCTAAGTGTCTTTTCTTATTTATGGGATGGGGTTCTTTACATACCTTTTCTTTTCCTTTTTCTTTTTTGTTCTTACTTTTTTGCCATGCTAAGGATTAAACCCTGAGCCCTACATATACTAGGTAAGTGTTCTACACTGGGCCAAAGCTCCCAGCTCATATATTCCGAACATAAGTCCTTGACTTGATAAACACATTAAAAGTATTTCCTAACTATGGCTTGCCTTTTCTCTCTTCATAAGGGTCTTTTTGATGAACTGAGGTT